AGAACGACGGTCGTAATGCGGTGGGTTTCCGTGAACGGTGAACAAACAGAGCTCGCCGTTGTTTTACGCGCCATCGGCGATTCGCGGTTTGAAACGCACCGGTCCCTGTTCCACACAAGCCGCGTCGCGTCGTGGCCGAACGAGCTCGCTCGTTCGCTCGCATTGCTTGTAATTTAGTAATGAATACGTACGTACCGTGCGCACACGTGAAGTGTGCGGGCCGCTGATATGTAGACGCGTAACATCTGGCGGCCTATGAAATGCAGGCACAGCCGAACGAACGGCCTGCAGCTGAACGTTACGACCGACGAGAGTTATGAGCCCCGACTCAATCTCCGGTCCACGTCCGATATAATTGCGATACTAAAGCTCCGGCACAAGCTCCGGCAAAGCGCGTAAATCGCGCGCTTTTCCCACACGTTTTTTGTGCGGTCACATCACCGGGACGATGAGATGAGGATGATGGCAACGGAATTTCGTCGGAAGATAATAAGCACAAGAAATCGTTTCTTAGTCGTTAATAAGAAAATTATCGCTACCCAGTCAGAAATGATTATGGAATCGATATCGAATCGATGTCGATTCGACGTCGATTTGATGCTTTCGACGTCGAATCGACATCGATTCGATATCGATTCCATTATCATTTCTGACTGGGTAAAGGGTGAAAAATTGTAGTTGCGCTTTCTTACAAAACTGAATGATATGATAAGCTTTTATTATCAAATTTAAAGCTAACTCGTATTGAAGACTTTATAAAATGTATTAAATAGCTTATGATTACACAGGCCTGCAAGAAAAAGAAGTATCCTGTGCTGGGATGGAGATCCAGCTATTCTTATGTATTTTGAGCCGCTGAATACGAATCTGACATCAAAATCAGCCATTCAGGGCAAATTTTCAATCTAGAGCGAAAAAATGGGTCAAAAATGGAAAAAATGGGTCATTTTTTCGCTGGACAGAAAATACATAGGAATAGCCACCTCAGCACAGGGTACTTTTTTTTTGTGGGGCTGTGTTATTAAACCGATTATTATAAACATAAAGCAAAGTCTGTTTGAAAAATGATAATCCTTCGCTGAAAACTACCCTATGCTTAGACTGATCTCTCCTCATTATCAAATCTAAAGATAACTCGTAATCAGCAATTTATGAAATGTGTTCAATAGTTGATTATTATTAAATTATAAAAAAATTAATTTCCGCCATTTTTCAAGCAAAAGTTGATTCTTGTATTTGAAAAATGACGATCGTTCGTTCAAAGCTACTCCGTAAAATTACCCGGTGGTAAAATTAATCTCCCTCCCATTCATGAAATTAATAGGGAGTTTTTGCAGTAACGTGAATTCAGATACGGGAACGCTAAAGTCATATTATCCTTTTCTTAATTAGTTGTTAAGAAGAAGATAACCTGACCTTAGCATTCACCGTATCTGAATTAATAAACGGTATTGCAAAAACTCCCTAATATTAATTGACCGCAAAATCACAGAGTTTGTATTCAAAATAGCAATCATGAAATTTTTTCCCTAAGGCGGAAACGTGAAAAGTGAAAATTCTTTGTATGATGTGTGTATATATACGAACATACATACATAAAAATGTTCACTTTTCACGTTTCCGCTCTAGCGAAAAAGTTACGTGATCGCTACTCTGGACACGTTCATTTGTGTAGATATATCATCCTGAAATTTTAAGTTTCTTTTATATATATATATATTTAATACGATCACTTTCAGTATATCATCGTTGTGTTATTGCGTGTAATTTTTAATGCAAAATTAATCCAGTACATTGATCGCATTCAAATAGGATTTCCTTTGGCCTTATCGCTTAATTTTTTTAATTAAAGAAACTCTAAATAAGTCGTTTGTCACACTAATTGATGATCACTTGTAGGACACTATATGTATATCGATATACGTTTAAGATGCATAGAAAAATGCATCGAACCGTGGCATGACGCAAATGTAACAACATATGCGTTACTGTGCTGTGAGTAAATCCAAACATCGTGAGCAAACGCACAAACATATCGCAACCATTACGTTACCTTAATTGAGGTATTGCAACGATCGTTTGACACTCCATATTGCACTCCCCCCGACTCACGATTACACCCCATGTTGCTCTGCGTTTGTAAAATAAACAGCATGATATATACATATTACAGAAATCATTTCATTAAAAATCATCAGACTGCGACAGAATATTTACACAAAAATAGAGATATACTCGTATATCTCGCATATTTATCGACATAATAGGATCAAAACTTTTCAAAAAAACGTACCAGGAAAAAAGAATTTCGAAGCGCGCGCTTTAGAAATATTTCCAAATTATACTGTTTGTATGCAGCAGAAAAAAAGTTAATAGATGATAGAAAAAAGTTAACAATTAATTTAAGGTAGATTGTGCTGAATTTTTTTCCTGCACATTTTGCAACTATTAAATAGATTTAAATTATTAACAGAAAAACGTATGAATAAGAAAAAAACTATAACTATAGATATTGAAGGGTAACAAGGAAAATAATACGCACCAAAGTCTTGAGACATAAGTATATAAATATGTGTATATATACATAATTCAATACAATTTATATCTAGGTTCACTTAATGGTAAATCAAAATTTATTATAGTTCCGATACACTTCCATATTCCCGCTGGATATTTTGCGATTCTTCGATTACAGATCGAAGCCAAGCGTAAGAGGAAGACGAAATTGCCGGTAATTCCTTGATCGATAATCTCGATTTCCATTTTTGAAGAAAAAAGTGTTCAAATTTTTATTAAACGAATGTAGACCAGAAAGAAACTGCAAGGAAAAAAATTAATTCTCCAGAAAACGTAACTTGTCTAATAAAATAAATAGCTGCTTCCGTTATTCGTTAAAAAAAATCAATGAATATAGAATCTAAAATTTTCAAATCAATCGCTTTATTCGTGGTATTTAATATTTCTTATCAAAATTTGTATGTAATTAATAATAAAAATAGATGCGGTCAAAAAATAAATGCTATTGTAAAAAGAATACCGATTTAAAAATAAAAGTATATAAATATAGTATATAATGGTAATATATATTTAAATTTTATTTATTAAACATACGTAAAATATATATAATTAAGCTTTTATTTTTACATAATCATTTGCTAAAATTCTGAACAATGAAGAAGACAAACGAGAAATGATATATTTACAATCGTATTTAATAATATCTAGTAATTAAGTTTCAACAAATGCTTCAAAATATCTATTTCTAAGCAGGATATTATACATTAGCAATAGCATCTATTTTTAGAAATTCGCATAATTGAATAACAATTCATGTTTTATTAAACGTCTAAAAAATAACAGGCGTCTGAAATAAAATTTAAAAAAGTAACACAATTCGCATTTCGGATATATTTTTAATCTCTTGTAAAATCTTCGTATAAGTCTGTATAAGAATCATCATTCCGTCACACATATTCACGGTAATTTCATGTAATCGTCATAACATTCCTACCTTTGATAAATGATCTCAAATAATTACGTATTTCGTAATTAAGATCATTTCGACGACCTCTTTGAATCTGCAGACGATTCTCGTTTGCTAAGTCCCGTTTCTGAAATAATAACATCAAATACTTTTTTTACACAAATGATTGATGTCCTAATATTCTAAAATTTGTTGAATAATTTTTCGAAAATTTATTTTGTATAGATACAATATAATTATATTTATATATAAATCTATATATAAATATATATCTATAATTATACTGACTGTACACATAAATTTTTATATGAGAAATCACTATATGTTATATTACATAACAAATTACCCTTATTTCATATATAATTTATTTTTACCATTTGCTATGGCAGGTACATCATCTGCATCCAATGTCTCATACTGTAATAAGGCTTCTGCTAGTTGTTTGTGTTCTTTCGCGTGCGTTTTCAAAATTGCTTTTGCACGTTCAAATGATTCCTATAAAACAAAAAGACATACAATGATTGATAAAATTGTTTTATATGAAAAGAAAGGAAAAATATTTTCTCATCGGGTCACATTTTTAAAAGAATATATATTTACCTGTAAAAGCCGCTTTACTTCATTGTCGATGATCTCGTTCGTACTTGGCGCATACGTGTTGTTATTACCGAAAAGCTTCTTATTTTCTACTATTGACCTGAATCCCACCTTCTCCGACATTCCATAAATCTTCACCATCGTTTCGGCTATCTTCGTCGCCTCCTGCAAAGAGACAAAGATACATATCTCTATATTTATCTTAATTTATATCTCAAAAATTTTCTTGAACAAATAAAAAGTTTCAAAAAAATTATACAATATAATATACAATATAATAAAAAAAAATTTTTTTTAATATAAAATTTACAAATTTTTTAAATATGATATATTTAAAAAATCTAAATAAGACTCAACAAATCACATAATTATGAATGATATTTAAACCGTTATTTCAAGTAAAATTCCTAACATTGCAAAATATAATCATACCACTAAATCGGAAGAAGCTCCTGTAGTCACTTTTTCCGGACCAAATATTAATTCTTCTGCAGCTCTACCACCCATCATGGAATCCATATTGGCTAACAGTTGTGATTTTGTAATATGATAAACATCTTTCTCATGCATATAGGAAGTCTAAGAAAAAACATTACATTAGGAATAGTTTCAATAGTCAAGGATTATTGTACATAAATACAAATTATATTTTAAAAAAATTTCTAAAGGAGACAAAATAATTTTTAAAAATATTCAATTAATCAAAATTTTTTATAATTGTCAAATTAAAAGATAAGTTAATTATACATACATGGCCTAACGATGGACCTCGTGGCACAATAGTAACCTTATGAAGCGGCGTAGCATCTTTTGTGTAAAATGCTACTAGAGCATGCCCTGCTTCATGATACGCTGTAATACGATTGACTTCTTCATCGCGCAATTTTAGTTTACCTTCTGGACCCATTAATACTTTATCTCTAGCATGCTCTAAATGCTTCATAGTGACGCAATCTGCTTCATCAATCGCTGCGCGCAATGCAGCTTGATTTACCTGTAATATTATAATAGATACTTAATTTATATATTACATACGAGTACATTTACTTGTTTTCCAAAATCAAATAAATCAAGAAAGTTAAGTTTTAATAAACTATTTTGAATATCCTTTGAACATTTCTGTGTTCTTACACTAAGAAAAAAATTGATCGCAAACTAATAAAATTAAAAAATTTGTAAATAAAGGGTAAAACAATATAGCTAGACCTTCATGATAAAATAATCTTTCTCACCATGTTTTCAAGATCGGCTCCAGTGAATCCCGTAGTACAACGTGCTAAATAATCCGTATCGACTTCCTGTGTCAATATTCTAGCTAAGTAGAGATCTAATATTTCCTTACGGCCAAGATAATCAGGCTTGTTAACGTAAATCTCAACATCGAAACGACCAGGACGCATTAGCGCTTTGTCAAGATCCTTACGTCTATTCGTAGCACCAAGAACTATGACACCTTCATTCTGACGAAAGCTTAAAAAATCAAATTAATAAAACATCAATTTAATAAAACAAAATATTGTGAATTAAATTTTGTATCGAAAAAGTTTAAAAGTTTAACAACTTGTAAAACATTTTGTATATATCCGTAACAGTATATTTCTCAAAAGATAACTCAAAATATCACATTATGTGCGCAACTATGTTTAAATCTCAATCAATTCGTAAACTCACCCATCCATTTCAGAAAGTAATTGATTAATTGTCTGATTTGCGTAAGGATGGAGAATTGAGTTCGTCCTTTTTGCACCCACGGAATCGATCTCATCAATGAATACTACACATGGTGCCTTTTCTTTCGCCGCTCCTACGAAGTTGATTGAGGAATTGATATACTTTTCACGATTTTAGCAATTTATTAATTTTTTTTTCGTAAAATTTGTTTTCTTGTCCACTGAATTTTACTCACTAAACAAATCTCTAACACGCCGGGCACCCTGACCAACGAGAATCTCATCAAATTCAGGGCCTGCCACATGGAAGAATGGTACACCGGCTTCTCCAGCGACTGCACGCGCTAACAATGTCTTTCCTGTTCCTGGCGGACCAACCAACAATACTCCCTTCGGCAATTTTCCACCAAGGGCGGAAAATTTATCAGGGTTCTTTAAAAATTCCACTACATTCAAAAGCTCTTGCTTTGCCTCATCTACCTATAATTTTTACAAATGTTTAGAGTACCTCGAAAAATGTGCGTAAATTAGTTGTTAGTTATATTTAGATAAAATCAATTTTAAACATTACAGTAATTAATGTTTTGGAAATGATTACTTACCCCTTTAACATCACTAAACGTGACATGGATGTCCTCAGGATCAATTTCAATTCTATGACTCATAGGAAGTTTAAATATTCCTCCTCCTGGATAACTGACTGCACAATATAAATAATTTAATAAAATTAGTAAAAACTTACAATATAATAAAAACAGCGTCAATTTTTATACACGTACGATAAAGCCAAATTACAAGAATAACAGTAGAGACAGTTAGTATATTCAGCATGATTTTCAGCCACGCATTTGTTCGGCCTCGCATTTGGCGTTGTAATCCAGATTCATATCCTTCTACAAAAGCAATTTTTATTCTCTTCTGTTCGTCCGCTGTTGCTTCAGTATTGTTGAAAATGTGTTTCAGTTTCTCATAATCCGAACCCTTCAGTTCGGGTACTAAACCCTGCAATAATAAAATTAATTAGATTCATGTAGAAGCATTAGAACATTTCATTTGTCACTGTACTTTTTAAATAATATTTTTACAAGCTAGATCATTATCGGGCATATTGTTAGATTATTTGCGTAAAATATAAATACATATTGTACCATTTGTATATTAGAAGACAGTCCGAACCATTTCTTTATTCTGCTCATGAATGGTGGATTTTGTTCCAATTCCATTTTTACAGTACGTTGAGATTTGAATGTACGAATCGGCATATGATTGTGTAATTTCTTGCCATACCACGTGTGCAGCAGTCTGTGTTGCTGTTTTGTCGCTAGATGGACGACAGGTAGAATAATAGGCTCTGTGAACATGGAGCATGGAAAGTCTCGCTTATTCTCGGCAAAACTTAGACCAGATAAGTAAGACACTCTCCATTTATTATTCTCTTCCAATGGTCTTCTAAATACACTGACAGCTACGCTATCCAGTATTAAGCACATCTTATTGTCCTTCATTTTTAACACATTTGATGTGTTTAAACTTATCTCTGGTAGCTCGGTACAATTCCTCATCGCCTAAAACAAATCAAAAGTTCTACTTACATGCATAATTTCATTTTAAGACAAGCGCAACATTATAATTTAAAACTAATCAATCTTTATATATTTTTCATTTCGTAATTATTATATTTTATAATCTAATGTCTCTCTAATCATGCATCTAATGTCATAAATTTGTTCATGTATAATTTAGCTATATTAAAAAAATAGACTTATGAAAATACCTCTTGAAAACTATCAGAACAAATTACTGTCTCCTCCGCGTTTTTTTGTAAGGATTCATCCTGTTTCTTAGCTTGGACTGAATACGAAGTCGTCCTAGGAGTCGCTGTTAATGCTAGCTGCGCCAGATGGTACAAGACCTGAAATTCGAAGAATATCCAAAATCATCAAGATATTTACATGATTTATTTGAAAAGGAAGTAAAAAAAATTTTGATTTTTTAGCTATGATTATCGACATATATGATCAACTGAAATCTAAAAGTTTTGTAAATAAGCAATATTTTAAATAAATCATGAACTTCAATATTTTTTAATTGTATTGACAGAATGATGTTTTATAACTATTACACAGGCACATAAAAAATATTTTGATTCCAAGATTAGATTATGATACTCTTGTTTATTTTAACGCTCTAAAATCAAATCCAAAATCCAAATTGCTCCAACATATCACAATTTTTTTTATCGATAAAATTTTTTTTATCGACATAGTCATATTTTCCAGTATTTTTAACTTACCTGCCGCTTCATGTTAACTTTATAAACTGACATATTTTTTTTATTGCTGAACTTACTTTCTCTTTTTTACCTAAAATTACATATTAAAAACCTACAGGTCTTAAATGGCTCTAAAAATACTGGAAAATTAAGTTATTTTTTTGTTGGAAAAAAATTATGACGTGATGAAACAATGCTGAGCATCGGATTCGATTTTAGGGCATCAAGACATACATAAACCTGAACAATGTGTTCTAATCTAGGCCTGTCCAATTTGAGCTCCAGAGCCAAAACACAAAGCCATCAATGTAAAAAATTCAATGTGAGTAAGATTTCAGAGACTATGAAGTATTATAAGTGTCATGTATACCAACATTTTACATTGAAATCTTATCCATATTGAATTTGTTTAGATTGATGGCTTTGTGTTTTGGCTCCGGAGTCAAATTGGACAAGCCTATTCTAATCTCTAGATCAAATACTACATATTATTTTGTGTACCTATGTTATTGTAGACATACTGAATCTAATAAATCTTAGAAATAATAAATCTGATAATATATATATGTGTTGCAATCGCAGCACATATCTATCATACATTTGTAATTTCAAGACAGTTTTATATCATGCAGATAAAATTAGATAAAGTACACATATAAATATGTATGTCTATACACATATTTAATAAAAGCCAAAATGCAAGGACAACAAAACACATGTATATGTGGAAGATAGGCAAAACATGCTGTCAGAAACATGATGTAATTGTAAGACGTTGTGAGTGCAAACCTGATTGTGAGATTGAAGAGATATCATAATCACAAGTCTCAGGACGGGAGAATCGTACGAATTTGCGTGAAACTACGGAGTTGAAGGAGCGATCGCGCGAAAACGCTAGATCACGATTGTAGAAATAAGATCGAACGCGTACTGATCATCGAGCGGTCCAGGTTGCTTTATCGTGAATCTGTTATGATCTGTTGGACAGCCGTGGTGTTCTTCGCAGATATAATCACGTGACCGGTCACTTGGCAATTTATTGGAACATCGAACGCGATTTTTTTTAATAATGTGCGAGGACCGACCGTGTTTTGAACACGGAGCCAATTGATGGTTAGCCGTCAAAGGCACGAACTAAGAATTTATAGATTTGCCAAGATCGATGACAATCGATGATACGGCCAGTCCATTTGATGCGACACATGCTTTGAAGCATTTTTTGATTGGTCAATTAGTGAAATTCTTTTTTCCAATTGGTTAACCAAATGCTATGAAGCATTCTAATACCAAGTGGACCGCACCCCAGTATATTATAGAACAAACTTATCATCAGGTTAATAGTATATCTGTAGATTGTCGCGTCAATTGCGTCACATGTTCCAACTTGGAGTAAATAGATTTGTCGCGTAACATGGTGACTTGCTTTAAAATGCTCCTACTACAGCATTTATTCACTCTAAACGCTTTCATTGAAGTGAGTAAAAGCTATAACAAGAGCACATTGGAGCATGTTGGAACATGCGACGCGAACAAACTTTAGGTCTGTTTTCTGTGGTTGAACTAGTGTACACTTTAGGAACTTAAAGTGAGATAGATATACGTTTGATATTTGTCGAAAGCGAGAAAGAAAGTTCTAGAACAGTCTATATAGGGCAAAAACAGAAAACAGATCATTTACATGCATGAAGTTATCATCGAGGTTCAAAAGTATGTCCAGAGAGAAACCTGAGAGCGGCCATCCCGGCCTTTTTCCTGTAATGCTTCTAACGGGGTGATTCCGATTGACCACGACTCGATTGGACACCACCAATCACAGCGACCGGTGCTTAGGAGCTTTGTAATCTCAAGCGCTGTGAGTGGCTCGTGTCCAATTGATCCGTGTCCAACTGGGTGCCACCCGTCCTCATGATTTTTCTGGGTTCTACTTGGGATAGGATTGAGATGATGATGATAATTATAGTGTCCAACACCATTTTGCAAGACGACTGTGAATAGTCACTTCCGATATATTTTTGCCTGTTGAATACAAATCCGTTGTCCATGTCCATATTTTATTATAAGATACATATAGCGTTCCAATTAAAAAAAAAAAAGAGGCCAAGAAACACGATTTTAAGGATTTTCATGACATTATATAGCATTTACAGGAAATTTTATTAGAAATCAACTCAATCATAGTCGATTGTTCTCTATCATATTTGACGGTGATTGACCGCACACAGCTTACGGTTTAAAGTTTCCTATCCTATTATGTTTCGGGAATGATTACATTTCGTATTCACTGCGAGTACTGAAAATTTATTCACATTACGAATACACTATAGCTTTTTAGTACTACAGATTTTCAATAGTAAACAATGAAACGCAATCAATATTAATATTAACCGATAAAAATATATCCAAATATAATCTCGTAATGTATAATTTTGAACATTTTGAATTTTTCACTCGATCATAACGAAGCAGGGATACCTAGACACGACGCCAAAACTCGATTTATTAGAGCACTATAATATAGGTATTCGCATTCGCCATTTTTAATCTCTTCCCCACTCTTTAGTTTCTCCTCAATCTTTTTAGTGGAGAGAAAAAACAAGAGAGTGAGAAAAGGACTAAAAATGGTGAATGCGAATACTCATATTCATGGTGGAAATACGTACTTCCACCATGCTCATATTATAGCGCCTTAAGATTTCTTCACATCTCGATGCGGGGGCGGCTTGCGGGTGAACCGCCGAATCAGCTTCGCCGTCCAATCGGTCCAATGCGGTGTGGAGCATCTGCAAAGTTTTCTCACAGTTCGTGGACGTGCATGCGGTGTTTGTGTAGCAGGTTACGCTGCGCTCTCCGCGAAATGACGTTTGTTGCTAAATATTGGCCGCACCGGAGCAAGCAGTAAACCGCCGTGATATCCACTGCCGTGGTCTCTCTCTAAGTCGAAGACCAGGTACGGGTGTCGGAGGCATCTGCGACGGTCCGTCCGTCCGTCCGTACGCACGTCGCACACCGTGGGCACCGTCGTGCGCCGGACTGAACCCTCGCGACTGCGACAGG